AGAACCTCAAAACACTTATCAGACTACTAAATTAAACTTCACGATCTTCCCATGAGGTAGGCATTAGCTCTATTTTACAGAGGAAACTGAATGAAGTACTGAGTGGAATAACTCACACAGGCTTGTGCTGTGTCAGTGGCAGGAATAGAACCTATGAGGCCTACCTCTTTTTTCATCTTATGCTTTAACACAAGACCAGCCTTCCTCCCAGATGTGACCTCAGTGGAGGGCCTGTTCACAGCTAGGAAAGACCCCAGCATGTTGTGAATGAAGCATTTAATTTTCTTAGTTCTCGGGAGCTGTTGTAATACCTTCTCTCAAAGGGGAAAGAAAGGGATATTCTTCCTATTCGACTGCTCTCTTATCATGCTCAGATGCTGGTGATTGACTTCCAAAAGAGCAGGCTTAGGGTGATCTATGACACGCTTATTTGGAAAACTCCTGCATGAAAAGGTGGGTTTTGCATTGTTGTTTCAAGATGGTGAGATCTGAGCTCAGCCTGCGCTCTGGTGAATGAGAGCTCCATAGTTACAAATCCTCCACAGAGAACACTCCAACCCAGTTCTTTATGAGTTCAAACCTGCTCTCTCTCACCGGAAGCATCCTTTTCTGAGTGCATCTCACACAGTGGACTATGGAAAGTCAGGCTCTAAGATAGCTGAGCCCCAAATCCACTTAAAGCTAAGGACCAAGACGTCAATATGATCTGAAGTTTGATTAGGAGGTAGTGTAGAGCACAGAGCTCTGTTTTGATGTCCTCTCCTTAAAAGGCAGACAGCCACACAATTGACCAGTTTCAGTTTCTGAATGGCCTTTAGTATCAGTCCCAAGTAGAGAGCATTGCAGAAATCCAGTCGGGAGGAGATAGATGCATAATGCACTAGCTTGGGCTGTATAAGAGCGGAATGGCTACAGCTGTCTGGCCATCAGAAGATGAAAGAAAGCATTTCTGGCCACGTCTATTTTGGCATCTAAAATACATAACAATGGTAAGCCTGTTCACCGCTTTGAGCATGGGTGAAGAGATAATCTTAGTAGATGGTGAGGCCATAGTTCCACCAAATGCATCCTCCTACCAGCCAACATCTGTCTCGTTAGGCTTGACCTCGAGTCATCTATTTTTTGTCCTGAGCTTCATTTCACAGGGACTGAATCATTAAGGGCACGGCCTTGTCTGCATTTGTCAAGATGTAGGCAAAGTTGGGGATCAGCTGCACAGTGGAAGAGTACAGTATCTCAATTCCTCCAATGCCCACACACACATGAAATGACAAGATGGAGTCCTGTAAGACTTTCCAGATGTGAGGGATCTCAGGAAGGAGGAGCAGCTTCCCATCACAGCCCTCAGGGATCTAGCAGAAAGAAGTGAACCAAGCCACCCATTAGGTACAGTCTGGGGCCTTTTGCTTGTTCTGGAAGCAGCAATTACTGATAGACTCTCAGTCTAGCTGAACTATGGGCCAGTGGGAGCCTGACAGTTCCAGCTGCTGTCTTTCTGATTTGGGCCTGATGCCTTATAGCTGTTTCATGTTTGGATTGGAGAGATTTACCAGTAGCCTTTCTCCCCATGCATTTTACCTCTCTAGCCATTGCAGATTTGGTGTTGCAACCCGTATTTTCTTCTCCAGGCAGTTCCTGGAGTCCCTAGCACTGAATCCTAGTTAACACTCCTGCCAGCTCCTCTCTGGTGGCTTGTTCCCAGAATGTCCTGTCAAGTATAAAACAAATAGTGGCTCAGAGCTTCTCACTTCCAGGAGAAACTGCATTTTCACACTGGCTCCTAACCTTGTCACTTCCAGGAGAAACTGCATTTTCACATTGGCTCCTAACCTTCTCAGCAAAGCCAAAGCACAATTAATACTGAAACTAATCCCCACTCTAAAGGTGGAGCCAAGAAAGGCTCAGGAAAATTAACCTTTTCCATAAATCACTCAGAGCTTGGAGGCAGCTCTGAAAAGTGTCCCTGCCTTTCACTTTTCTTTTCTTTCCTCTCCCTCAGGATCTACAACAGGGCAAATCTTCCATCTTGGAGCTGGAAAGCTTTTCTCTGTCTTCATGCAGCATTCTGGGAAGAGACTCTAGCTCTTGACCAGTTGGGGATTATTGATCCCAAGGCTGCTAGAGACTTGGATCCAAGGATTGAGATGAGCAGAGCAAGTTGCTCCAGGGCTTAGTACTCCACTCCAAGTTAGCCTCCTGAGATCAGCTATATAGCTAGCTCTGGTACCATATAATAATAGCAGAATGCCAGTGCTGCTTTAGATAAGGTTGAGAACTGCTTTCTGTTTAAAGGTTGACTTAACTGGATTGCCTTGAAATCTGATGTGCTTCATGGAGACGAGGGGTAGAGTCAGTTATCCAAATTTGGGGTCAGTTGTGTAAGAGGTTCTCAAGAAAATAGCTCACTGGAAAAAAAAAAGTTTTTAAAGTTGACAGATTTGACCAGCTTTTTTTGGTGCATAGGATCAAACCATGCCTGTCATCATGGCCAAAATGGTGTCAATCACTCATCGTTTACCCTGACGAGTGCAAGGCGCCCGCTAAGCCCTTTGCAGGAACACAACTGAAAACAATATTTGAAAGAGAGTTTGCCAAACAGATTACACTTTGAAGACAGACAGCCCAAGACAGTTGCTAGCCCGCCATAGCTCATCAGACCTGTGTGACTCAAGGGGACATCAAACTTCAGCAACACTGAGGCACTGTAAATTCAAATCTGACACTTGCCAGAAATCTGAGAAAGAAAAAAAAATAGACATTGCTACGATCTTCCTCTGTCAGAGGTTTTTTTTTTTTAGTTTGGGGAAATGTAATCTGCATACAGCAGAAAACTCAGAAGGCATTCAAATTATTTTTGAAAAGAAAATAAATGACACGGGCGAATGCTTGTGGGCGGATGGGAGGGGAGGCTGCAGAAACAGAAGGGGCAAATGGGAATGAGTGGGAGGGGAGGGAAGAGGGGTTGAGGTGCTCAGGTCAGGGGGCGGAGGTAGGTATTGGGAGGGCCGCTATAGAGGTGTGTGATATGGGTTTAAAGCTGCATAGCTGTGTACCTTACCTCTGTATTTCCTGGTTTTCAGAACTTTACATTCTGGAAGGACACAAAATACCAGCATGCAATCTTAACTCTGCACTCATAATTATTATTTTTTGGTCAGTGGGTACAGACCAAGCAGGCTACAGAGCCCCCCGTTAGAATAGCTGCTGCCTCTTAGCAGATATAGCCAATAATAGAATCTGCTGACTCCTAGGCTCAGACCACATACCGGTACCTCTCATCACACCATAGCTGTGGGAAGATGCTGAGTGAAACTAGAGGGGAGTGCCTGGAAACAGAAAGGCAGCCTGGGGTGCTAGGGTGAGTGGTGTGGAAGAGTTCAGAGTTCTTTGTCCTTCTGGTATGGCAGATCCTTTGATATCCCCAACACCCATAAGGTAGCAGAGTCCCCACTGTGCTAGCTCAGCCTTGTGTACCATTTAATTCACCTCCCTGTTCTAGCCAGGCAGCAACCCATTGGGATCGCACCTTGATCTTAGCACATGTCACTGCAGGAAGGGTGTCTCGCATTTGTGCTGACTCTCATCAGCCACATTGTTGTTATGTAGGATCCTGGAGCATCCAGCTGGAGAGGGGAGGCAGCCTGGTGGTTCTGAGGAGCTTGCTGTGGCCAGGACTGACATTCTACCACATCCCCATGACTAAACAATTTGGCTATATCTACCTTGGCACAGGTGAGAAGAACATAGACCTGCCCTTCATGCTGTGAATTGTCCACCCAAGCTAAGGATTCAAGGGAAGGTGTGTCACATTTAGATTTTATACTTGGGGATTTGCAGTTATGTTTGTTCTAATAAACCCGTGTGAAACCTCTGCACCTGTCAGCAGTTTTCTGTGTCCCAGAAAGAGTCCTGAGGATTTCCCTAATGCCTCACTGTGTGTATTCTTAAACCTAGGCCCCCATCTGTGTGCTCAGGCATCGTGTTCCAGATCTTATTCCTAGGCAGCGTGAGTGAAGGTTGATAGAAAATAAGGCTTCTGCTTAATATCAGAAGGAAAAGCTGCTGCATTCTAGGTCTTGCCTACACTCAGGGCTCCACACTCCACCTTGTGCTCGGTGTGGGTGGTGGGGAGAGAACGGGGTCTGTTTTGCCAAAAGCAGAGGTCCCGCCTGCTCACTGCTGGCAGAAGTGAAAGACCCAACTCTACAAGAGTCAGTCTGCTGTGCTGGAAAATACTGTGCTCTCAGGTTCGAACATTCAGGGTGCCACATGGCGTACCACTGCTCTTGTCTCACCCAGTCACTGTTCTCTCACCATTACATTGATAGCTGATTTGGGTTACCTGCCATAGAAAAGATGCCATGGAAGTGTGTTTGTTCTAGACGCAATGTGAGTAGTGATCGTTCAAAGAGAGTGGAAAGGGACAGAATAGGCCGATAGAGCTCCTGGCTTCCTAAGGATTCAACACACTTCGAGTCAACATTTACATTTTCCCTAAAGTCAAGGATCCAGGCATCTTGCACTCCGCCTTGCCTGAATCTAGAGCTTCCTTTTTACAGACTCAAGGCCAAAAGGATCATTATGGTTATCTAGTCTGACCTGCTACACAACACAGGCCATCGAATCTCCCCCGCTTCTCTTGGCCATGCTGGTAGATGGGAACAGACGGTCCTGCCTAAGCTAACACAGGACTCACCAGCACAACAGAAGATAATAAAAAAGGGCTACACAGCCTGTGGCCTCAGAGGTATAGCAGCAATGAACACCAGTAAATTTAATCTCTTTTTTGCATCAGGCCCATACCTAGCATTTTGGAAGTATGACTGCTCACTAAGGTGAAAACCAGCTGTGTTGTATGAACTGTACAGGAACAGAGCTACAGGACAGACAATGATGTACAAGCCCCAACCACATACAGTTCTATGCAGCAGCTGCAACCTTGACAAGTTTGACAACTCTCAGCAAGTTTACATGGAAGGAGAAGAAAACAGACCAAGTCATTAAGGGTGTCAATGTATTTTGTATTTGTCAGACACAGGGGTTACAGGGACCCAGTAAGTAATCCTAACAGGCACATAGTGAGACACAATCATCATGCCAAATGCCTGCCTGCCACTGTCATGTGTTTTCTGCCTCAAACTAAGGTCATTACAGACTACAAAAATATTCCACTTCAGCACTGATTAACACAATTTCCATCACTCCTGATGAGGTAGTAGGGAGCAGAGAACTTTTCTTCAGAGTCAAAGGTTCTAGGGCTTGGGCCACTGACAGATCAGATCTGAGAGGTATTCTCCTTCTAAAGCTTCCTGCTGCAAAAACCCTCTTGGGTCGTCATGAAGCAATGATCCGATCCTTTCCTGCTTTTAAATGATAGTCAAATGTCAGCCCTTGTTCTACCTGCACAGGAAGGCAATGATGACGAATCCTGCATGTCCCCAGAGGAGCAGATGGTTGCTTGCTCACTGGAGACAATGCAGAATGCTAAAAGGAGAGATGCTTGGAATCAGAGTGTTGCTGGGGTGGAGAAACTCAGAACAAGGGTAGAGTAGCCTGAAGAGCTGTGATCCACTGGCTATGCAAGTTCCTCTGTGCCTCAGTGATTTAAATAAACAGGCCTCTGCCTATAGTTGATGTTATTCATCAGCAAGGGGTGTCCAACACGAAAGGGGACTCTGCACCACTTAGGGCCTCTCTTCCAGATGGGCTTAGCAGATCTGACTGACCAGCGGGTAAGATACCTGTAAAAACAGAAGCAGAAAAGCACCTCAAATTTGAGACTGATAACTGAGAAAAGGCTTTGGCTAAAGCAGGGGTGGCCACTGCCTTCTTTTTAATACAGAGGCAAGGACTATGAACACCAGAGAGCCCAGTAAGCAAAGCTCCCCATTGGATCAAGAAGGATCACTGAAAGGGAGCACTGCATCCTGGGACTTGTAGGCTGTACCTCTGTATGGAAGACAATGGCAACTGCTATGAGCTCCACTCTGTGTAAATTAGGTGCAGGCTCCTGGCAAGTTGTCCATCTGATCCTGTTTGGCTAAGTTTGAGCATCCAGTTCCTTTACTGTATCAAAAACCAACTCTAAATTCATCCCCCCTGTTCCATCTTGTTGGGAAGACACAAACTCCACAGCCAGCCTGAATAAGGTAGGCCCAACTCAGTTGAAAGTCTCCAAAGGTGTCAGTCTATTTTCACTAGGTAGGCAGCTATTTCTCCTGGGATTCTGGCCAATTAATTTATACACATTTAGACACACACACACACGTTTGTTGTGATGTGCTTGTATAACTGTGTTCCAACTTGCTGGTGCAGGAAACCAGAACTTGCAATGCAAAAAGTGCTGGGAGTGGAATTACAACTGCAAATATATCACAAGAGCAACTCCTAGCAATTTAATGGATTAAACTGGATTTTTACAATTTGAACTTTACATCTTATACGCAAGATGGAATTTCATGCCCAGTGTCAGCTAGCAGGGATCTAATTCCATGTCTGGTAGGCCTGGAGTTTTGTTGCCTTTCAAATCTTTCGCTACTGGTAGGGAGGGAATAAAAGTCCTTGAAGAAATAAGTTTTTTGTCAGGCAAGATTTGAAGCAAAACTCTGATGTAAACCATTCTTGGACAAATTAAAATTTGGAACAGACTGGTAAGCTTTTTGCCCTACAATGTTGTTTGCCCCTCTCTGCTGAGTAATCATGTGATCTTAGTGTGACCCCAATCTGTTTCTCTTCCGCCCCCCAAAAAGGTTTTGTTGCCTCTTATTTGCATCATGTGTGGATTTATATGTTAAGTGCTTTGGGCAGAGGCCATGTGCAATTTATATGTATAGCAAGGCATTTACTACATGCTTGGGAACTGTAAAATAAATCTCACAGTGCTGGGTGGTCATGGACTATACGAAAACAGCACACATTTTGCCAGCACTTTTCTTCCTCAAGGATCCCAAAGAACTTTACAAACAAATTGTGTCTAAAGATCTCTGCTACTGAAACAAAGTTGCCTCTCAGCTGCTTTACAGGCAAATAAAGAGATTTAGGCTTTCCGTCGAGGAGCTTACAACTAGAGCAGACATGAGCATGTACAGAGGAGACAACAAGAAGGGGGTGAGAATGGAAGGGAGAGTTGCACATCATAGTATCAACTCACTTGTTCTCATTTGCATATACTGGATTAGTCCCTTTCTATGGTTAATCTTATACTGGTGCATTAGTGGAGCCTTTAGGACAGGAAGTGAAGGAGACTCCCATATTCAATTGAAAATGCAGGCAGGATTTAGAGCAACCAAAAGCAATTACCAATTTGGAATTTGGCCAGAAACTGGGGTTAATGCTATTTCTTTTGGGAGAAGTTCTACAGGATCTTTAATGAGCACAAAGGGACAGGTCCTTATTTTTACATTTCATCTGAACTGCAGCCATCCACCTACAGTGAGCTCTGATGGAGTGGAACTTAAGTTACAGGGAAAGAGGAGGAAAATCCAAAATTGTTTCAATGCATCACAATGTGCCAAGTGCAGTTTTGATCACGTGACCATCCACTTACGGGAAAGAGCTCCCGTGATAACAAATGATCTCACTAGAAGAGGGAAGCATAGTTAATGTTGGAGATATACATCAATGCTGTGCACGTTTAGACAGCCGGTGGCTTTAAGAAATCCCTCTGTTTCCATGTGGGCGCTGGAAGCGCACATCCCAAATCGGCATAGGAAAAAGGATTTAGTAATGGCCTGATTTTAGAGCTTTTGTTATTTCTCCTTTGAGCAGGTCTAATCCAGCCCTCTGCTCCAGCCCTTTGGCTTCCTTTGGGGACAGCAGGCTGGGGCTTTTCATTGTTAGCTGAAACAGACATTTGGACGCTCTCCCTTCCTGGAGCATAGTTTGCTTTTACTGTTTCTAATGCTTGCTTTGTCCAAAACTCAATTTTGACCTATTTTGCTTGCTGCCTTTTACTTTCATGATCCCACAATGGCAAAAAGCAAGCATCACCCTGAGGCCCGTGAGCAGCCACTTCGCCGCAAAGCACCTTTCCTACTCTCTGCCTAACCCCTTGTTCCCACTCTTTGATGCTATAATGCACTCATTTTCTATCAGGAAGGAACACAGAAGGGAAAGGCCATGGAACCTGTCCAGCACCTGGAGTTTTCAGGCTAATTCTGAGCAGAGTGCTTGGTTTGATAATTTGTGCATCCCATTCCACTCAAGTTTCCTTATTTCCCATTACCATTGTATCCAAGCACTAGGGTCCATTGTAGAGGGGTCTTTGCTTTCTCCTACACTTCACACAGTCACATTTTCTTAACCACGTCAGTGCTGCCAGGGCAGAGCTTAGAGCCTGACGTGACTTGGAGCGTGGATGGATAAAGCATTCTGCATTCTCAGAGTAGTCACAAACTTTTAGCCACACGGGTGCCAAAGGGGGCCACAGCTACCAGTCCTGGGGAAAGAGGTTTGGGAGAGGTGTGTGCGGGTAGCCCCACGTCACAATCACCACTATGTGACACGGTGTGGTGGGAGCGGGCAGCATGCAAAGCTACTTTCAACCCTGCTGGGTGTCTGTCTGGCAAGAATGAGAAGTACGAAAACAGCTGCAGTTGGTAACCTGTGGTCTTTGGAGCACCTTGGGCCATCCTAAATTGCGATGGCGCATGGAAGTCGGGTTCCAGGGTTCGCGCTGTGAGAGGGACGAGCCTGCAAGTTCTGTTATCCAGACATTGCTGCTTAACACTAAGGAGTGGGCTAGGGTGAGGGAAATGACTTGCATATGGGGCAGCTGTGGCCCTGCGTGCAGCTCAAGCAGGAGCCATCCCGGTGCAGCTCAAGGCTGAACTTCTGAACCCTGACTGAACTTTTTCAATCTGGCTCTTGTTTGGATTAAGAGCAGAGGGCTTGAGCCTGTGCAGGAAACACTCTATCAAAGTGCTGGCAGGGCTGCCTCCTCCTTGCCTCGTCCCCTTCCCAGGATGCCTCTTAGCTTCCACTCACCTGAGGCTGCTCTGGTTCTTTGTTGTTGAACTCATAGTCTACACAGAACATAGGGAACAAGGCTACAGGCTTTCAATGCAGGTGAGAAGCCACATGCCACATAAGTTAAGTGCTGATAACAATAAGAAGCTGGAGTCAGCTCCCAGAGAGTGGAAAGGGGTGTCTGCAAGAGAGACACTAATCCCAGCGAACACTTCCTTCTAGGAGCTTAGCAGCCAGTTGCTACTAAGTAATCTCCTTCTTACCGAACACAGGGCAACTTCTCCTTTCTCCAAGAGACAAAGAAGGACTAAGACCAGGGAAGAATAAGATGGGAGCTATCTGCACCCAATACTCTGACTCCAAGCCTTATAATGCCGCCTCCTGGCAGGAAGGTGGAAATGGAGTAGTTGTGAGCTCTCCAAATCCAGCGCTTCTACCCCATAATCCACAGCACCTCCCACTGGCAGAGAGCAGGCCCTGAGAAGCTACGACCTACAGTCACAACTGTAACCCCCATACTAGTTTATGGAAGGGATGATTTCATGGAGTTTTGCTTTAACCAATATTTAGGTCCCCGACCAAATGAGCAGCCAGTGCAGCTTCGACATAAAAGTGACTCCAGACTCTGCCTGTGGGATGGCCATTGAGCTCAGAACAGCGATCTCCCACACTTGGCCTCTAACAACTTATATACTGGAAAGGAAGCTGCCAAATTAGTGAGATTTCTAATCTTGAAAGCAAGGAGGGAGGTTTGATCTGCAGCTGCTCATGACAGCTTCCCAGACTGTTCTGGTGTGTGTGGCCTGCACACATATGGCTCTGGAATTTCTGAATGCAGACTGCAGTTGCACATGGTACTGGAAAAGCCTTACAAAATCCCACTCTCTCGAGCTGACCTTTGATAAATGTTGTTGCTGCGGCATGTAACTGCTCAGCACATGCCAGGTGAAAGCATAACAGAGGGTATAACAGAGGCATAACTAGGTATAATGTGATGAAATTAAGAAAAGAAAAATGCAGGCTGAAGATCAGGGAACAATCCCTGACAGTGAGGGATCATCTCCTTAGCCTGTGGAATCATCTCAAGGCGGCGGCAGAAGCCCTAAACTGGGCAAAGCACTAGAAAGTGCCCTGTAGGGAACAATTCTGCATTGCCAGGAGATGGAATCGAAGGCTTTTCTACCTCCAGTTTCTACAAACATGATACTATGGGCAGAGGCATCACTCCAACGTGTGATGAGGCGGGGCAAAGGGCACAACAGCTAACACACCCTGTTACACTCTGGCCACCAAAACGTGGATACCTGACAACAGTATTGCTACAATGGGCCCTCAGCTGGTAAAGCAGCTAACGGCTGGCATTAACAAGCTACGACTGTCAAGAAGCTACCAAACAGGAAGCAAAGAGGATATGAGAAATACAGCGAGAGGTCTCTCACCTGGGCAGTATCCTGACAACAGGGAGGAGATCACGGCCACAGAGTGCTGCTTAGACCCGGATCTCCTCTCTCCGGCTCAGTTGCTAACCACAAGCTATCACAGCCTCAGTAGGTATCTCACACTCTTGCACTAGACCTGCTTCTACTACTGTCACTTCTCAAATGCCTCCTTAGTGTTAAAGCACAGAGGGCTCTCCCAATCCTGAATGCAGACTCCTTCTTATGCAGGGTAGCGTGTGTAACTGAAAACAAACTAGGGTGTGCGGGTCACCATTTCCCAATGATCCAATCCTCAGTGCTTGCCCTGCCACACACAAAATGTGGGCAGCAAGAAT